AACCTCAGCCTCCAGAGTTCAAGCGATTCTCCTGCCGCAGCCTCCTGAGTAGCTGGATTTATAGGTGTGTGCCACAACACAGCTAATTTTTGTATTTTTGCCATGTTGGCCATGGCTGGTCTCGAATTCTTGACCTCAAGTGATCTGCCCCACCTTGGCCTCCTAAAGGGCTGGGATTACAGGGGTGAGCCACCATGCCCAGCTAATTTTTATATTTTTAGTACAGACCAGATTTCACCATGTTGCTCAAGCTGGTCTTGAACTCCTGACCAGTGATCCGCCCAACTTGGGCTCCCAAAGTGCTGGGATTACAGATGTGAGCCACCGCGCCCTTCTCCTGCCTCATTAGTATCTCCCACATCATTCAGGCCTCAGCTCAAGCATCGTGGCTTCAAAGAGGCCTTCCCTGACTACCTTATCTCAAAACAGCAAAACTGTCAGTCTCTATTCCTTATGCTGCCTTAGTTTTCTTCATTGCACATAATCAGCCCCTGACAGTACATCATGTTTGTTATCTCTTACCTACTCCTTTATTTTTTTTTATTTATGAGAGGGAGTTTCTGGACCTCAAGTGATCTGCCCTGCTGCTAGGATTACAGGGATGAGCCACTGCCACCAGCCTCTCCTGCCTCAATTCTTTTTTTTTTTTTGAGACATAGTCTCACTCAGTCGCCGAGACTGCAGTGCAGTGGCAAGATCTCGGCTCAGTGAAACCTCTGCCTCCTGGTTTCAAGCAATTCTTTTGTCTCAGCCTCCATAGCACCTGGAATTTCAGGCGTGGGCCACCATGCCCAGCTAATTTTTGTATTTTTAGTAGAGACTGGATTTCACCATGTTGAACTCCTGACCTCAGTGATCTACCTGCCTCGGGCTCCCAAAGTGCTGGGATTACAGGTGTAAGCCACCATGCCCAGCCGGAAATCTGGATTTTTTTAAAGCATTTTTTAAAGTGTTGAGATCTTCAGTTCTCAGACCTCAAAGTAAACAAGTAACTTTTTTAGTTTCAGAGCACACACCAGTTTCTGGATTACAGGTCTTTAAAATTTTTTCAATTTTTTTTGAGACGGTGTTTTGCTCTTGTTGCCCAGGCTGGAGTGCAATATTGCAATTTCAGCTTACTGCAACCTCTGCCTCCCAGGTTCAAGCAATTCTCCTGCTCCAGCCTCCCAAGTAGCTGAGATTACAGGCATGTGCCACCATGCCCCAACAATTTTTGTATTTTTAGTATAGACAGAGTTTCTCCATGTTGGTCAGGCTGGTGTCGAACTCCTGACCTCAGGTGATTTCATCCACCTTGGCCTCCCAAAGTCCTGGATTACAGGCGTGAGCTACTGCACCGGCTTTTTTAAAAAATTTTTTTATATTAACTTCATTTTGAGTCATCCATACAGGTCCACTTATTGTCACAGATACCTTATTAGATCAGTAAATAGGTTCTGTGTTTTCATTCAGTTTTGGTAATGGAGTCAGTTGTAGTGTGGGGTTTGCTTAAAGACTCTCACTTTTTTGTTCAAGATGAAGTCTTGCTCTGTCACCCAGGCTGGAGTGCAGTGGCATGATCTCAGCTCACTGCAACCTCTGTCTCCCAAGTTCCAATGATTCTTCTGCCTCAGCCTCCCAAGTAGCTGGCATTACAGGCCCCTGCCACCACACCTGGCTAATTTTTGTATTTTTAGTAGAGATGGGGGTTCACCATGTTGGCTAAGCTGGTCTTGAACTCCTGATCTCAGGTGATCTGCCTGCCTCGGCCTCCCAAACTGCTGGGATTACATGCGTTAGCCACCATGCCAGGCGACTCGCTTTTTAAGTGCCCAAAGTGAAACTAGAACAGAGTATTTTAGTATTGTAAAAAAGTACCCTTGTCTTTGCTTAAAAGGATATGTACTATGTTATGCTGCAAATGCCTTTTAAAGTGCAGGGACAAAAGGAGTTGTTTCAAAACTAGAGAAACACCCACAGCACCTCCAGCAGAATCCAGGCTACAGATTCCAGTTAACCTGGATAGTTGTGGGGATGGCTGGGTAGTATTAGGCAGAGCTCTGGTTTCTTGGAAATTCCACATCTGGACACTAGAGGACGGAGGCACACAGAAAAAACCCACACAGACCCAATCAAGCAAGACTTAGATGGGTGGATGCTTTTGGAAGTTACCTAAAATTATTTTATTTATTTATTTATTTGAGATAGAGTCTCACTCTGTTGCCCAGGCTGGAGTGCAGTGGCACAATCTCAGCTTGCTGCAACCTCTGCCTCCCATGTTCAAGTGATTCTTGTGCCTCAGTCTCCCGAGTAGCTGAGATTATAGGTGTACGCCGCCACACCCAGCTTATTTTTGTATTTTTAGTACAGGCGGGGTTTCACTGTGTTGGCCAGGCTGGTCTCGAACCCCTGACCTCAAGTGATCCACCCACCTCAGCTTCCCAAAGTGCTGGGATTACAGGCATGAGCCACTGTGCCTGGCCAGAGTCAATTTCTATACCTCGCCAAACAAGCATTGTGAACCTTCTGGCAAAACTGACCCATATCAAATGGGCCAGAGGGATTTCTGCCAGAAACCAGTTCCCAACCAGCTTTTGAAGCAGCTGTCACAAACTAAACACAAAGTCAGGTGGGGCAAAGGTTGTTACTGGATGTGTATCAAGCTCTGGCCGTGAGCTTTGCCAACAGTGGCTCATTTAAACCGCACAGAAATCCCTGGGAGTTTACCTACGTAAGTGAGGGCAATGAGGCTCATGTGAAGTCCAGGGTCAGGGAGTGTAGGCGAGGGAGCCAAGTCTCAACACAGGACTGGGCCCAAAGCGTGTGCTTTTCTTACTTAGGGTTCCCATAAATCACTATGATCTCCATAAAAACCCCTTCTCCACCTGCTCTTCTCTTGGCCAGAGCGTGAGGAAGCTAGAAACTTCTTCAAAGTTTCTCTGTGATTGAACTGGACAGGGGAATGGATTGGTCTCTGTTAAGAAGCCAATGGCCAAGAAACCTTTCTCTTTAAAATGGAGACGTGGTCTTGCTATGTTGCCCAGGCTGGTCTGAAACTCTTGGCCTCAAGTGATCCGCCTGCCTTAGCCTCCCAAAGTGCTGTGGTTACAGGAATGAGCCACCAGGCCTGGCTGGAAAACAGCTTTTCCTGTAATATCAGTTACTGGACAAATCTCTGACCTTTGCTTTATTTCTCATCATGCTTACACTGAAAAACACACAAACACCTCAATAAAAAAAATTAATTACCTGGTAACCTTTATTCGGGAAGTGAAAGTAACTGTGAAACAGTGCTTCATAAGGCGTGGCATACAAGGCCTTGGTTCCCAACGCCAGCGAGGATGAGGCCCAGTCCCGCACTCCATCGCAGGCACCATTGCTAAGATGTCCTCCTGGCTGACCACAAAACAGTGGTAACAACGTAGCCAAAGTTACTTTTACTTGGGTAGGATGACTGCAGAAGGCATCGCTACATGCAGCTTCCAGACCCTTCCATGGGTTGTGCTCTCCAGCGGATGTGCCAGCTGTGTCGGATTTGCATGCACAAAGACAGGTGTGCACCCCACCCACCCTGGACTGGGCAGCAAGCGGCTGCTCACCTACTGCGCCAGACTTCCCAGCCTCCCTCTGCTCAGAATCTTCAAGGAGGATGAAAAAAGACCACAGAAACTAATGCAAGACCAGGATGCTGTAAAGAAAGATGCTCTGATACACAAAAGCAAAAACATGAGGCAAAGAGGGAAAAAATGAGGGAGACACAGAAAGTTAAACTATGCAGTTACACTGCCGATTTAGAAAGATGTTAAGACACACACTAGATACAAATGAAACCCATCCTGCACCCTTCCTCCAGAAGACATTGAAATTCAGAAAGCAAAAATACATCCTTTCCGTAGTAAGCACTGTTAGTATTCAACACTTTAATATTTATGGTGTATCACATAAAAAACAAAGTCTTATACTTTTGTATTAATAAAAAAAAATAGCAAATCCATATAATGGCAAAATCAGGAAAAAAAAATCTAATATTTCCACAAAATACAGAATGTCTTAAAGATGATTATATAGACTTTAAATGTTTGCAGCCCTACAGAGCTTTTGTTGCCAATTGAAAAACAAAAAAAATCAGCCGGGCGCGGTGGCTCACGCCTGTAATCCAAGCACTTTGGAGGCCAAGGCGGGCGGATCACCTGAGGTCAGGAGTTCAACACCAGCCTGACCAACATGGTAAAACCCCGCCTTTAAAAAAAAAAAAAAAGAAAAGAAAAACAAAAAAATCATCCCAACACAGGATGTTTCAAAAGCCTAATTCATAAAAAGGACAATTTATTCTATGTTTAATATAGTGTTTTTTAGGATGGTAACATAAGTCTTACAAGAGCTCAGTAAAACAAAACAAGAAACTATGATGTTGACTGTGGGTTAAATAAAAAGAAAAAAACCACACAGAACAAAAAGAATATAAGGAATGGTAAGTGGTGCTGTCAATTAAAAAAAAAAAACTGTAAATCATCTTACCACCAAAAAGTGACACGGAAAACTGTTTGAATCTGAGCAGGGACACGATTGTAGACATCTTTTGGCATTGTAAATGAAAGTGATAGGTTAACTACTTGTGTTCCATTCCTCATAGCAGTAGACTCCTATATCCAAATGATCATGAACACCCTTCCCATCCCACACTCAGATGGAAAGCAGTCAGAACCCCTGCCACTGGATTCTTCGGCACCCTTGGGACAGTCTCCAACTGACACATTCCAGCAGGGGAGGAGGGCAGGCACCTTTGGTAACTCTTCAGTGAGACTCCATCGACATTCAGAATCTTAAAATTTTGGTAATGAAAACCATGGACCTGCAAGTCATCCTTACCAACCTTAAATGTAGTGTTGTGACATCCAACAAAGGAGTTCCACATCACGTGGGAATAAATTTGAACAGATACATCCAATTAAACATAGTGTCTCAGATTTCAAACAAATAGAGCTCATCTTCTGGCAAAAAATAAATATAGTGGAATGCAATTTTGATAGGTGGAAGAATATATAATCTACCAACTGTCAAGGAGTACAATTTCATTGCAGACACAAAGACTCAACAGTTTCAAAGAATTTTTTAAAATAAAAAAAGAACATTTGCACTTATTCCTCACAAAAATCTTCACTTTTGAAACTATCCCAATTGAAGCTACACACTGAATTTATTAATACAGCATTAAGTTTCTTTGTGTAAAAAAATCTTTGTACACAGTAATAAAAAAAGATAAGGCAAGATGCATTAAACAGAAACCTTCTGGCTCTTCTCCTCTGCATTCTTACAGAGCCACTGATGACTATCTGCAACAAAAGAGTTAAGTTTCTGATTTTCCGTATCAAGCATCTTATGCCTTTGCTGTGGTAAGAAATCTGTCCAAGCACCCTGAAGGACAGATGCTGGTGATGGTCTTTGGCACTTATGCTGGCAAACTGAGCTTCTTTCCCTTGAGTACTAGAATTTCAAAGAGAGGAAAAGAAAACAAAAGTTACTGATGCTGACAAACTTAGCTTCCTCCTTTCCATTCCTAGAAGTCTCCCACACACAAGATTCTACATAGTAAGGTATAGGAAATAAGCAATTGTATTTTAAAAATGCAAATTTGATCCAACGTGCCACTAAATTCATAGTGGCTTTTTGTTATTATGGCTTTCACCCTAATCAATATAGTAAAATATAGCTTATGTAGGGAAGCATATGAAATTCTGGGTACTGAAACATAAAGGCCGGGTGCAGCGGCTCACACCTGTAATCCCAGCACGTTGGCAGGCAAGGGTAGGAGGATCCCTTGAAGCCAGGAGTTCAATACGAGCATAAGCAACCAAGTGAGAGCGACCCCATCTCTATAAAATTTTTTTTTTAAATGAGCCAGGTGTGGTGGCATGCACCTGTAGTCCCAGCTACTCAGAAGGCTGAGCAGGGAGGATCACTTGAGCCCAGGAGTTTGGGGCTGCAGTGAGCTAAGATCACGGCACTGCATTCTTGCAGCCCGGGTGACAGAGTGAGACCCTGTCCCTTTGAAAAGAAAGAAAAAAACAAAAAGGATGGGTGGGCAAGGCAGCTCCTGCCTATAATCCCATAACTTTGGGAGGCTGAGGTGGGTGGATCTCCTGAGGTCAGGAGTTCAAGACCAGTCTGGCAACATGGCAAAACCCCATCTCTACTAAAAATACAAAATTAGCCAGGTGTGTTGGCACACAACTATAACCTCAGCTATCCAGGAGGCTGAGGCAGGAGAATCGCTTGAAGTTGGGAGGCAGGGGTTGCAGTGAGCCGAGATCCCGTCACTGCACTCTAGCCTGAGTGACAGCGCAAGAATCTGTCTCAAAAAAAGAAAAAAGAAAAAAAAGGTGAGAAATAAGATATGCTTTTTTTAAAATCTTTTTTTTTTTGAGACTCAGTTTTGCTCTTGTTGCCCAGGCTAGAATGCAATGGCACAATCTTAGCTCATTGCAACTTCTGCCTCCCGGGTTCAAGAGATTCTCCTGCTTCAGTCTCCCAAGTAGCTGGGATTACAGGCACGTGCCACCACACCTGGCTAATTTTGTATTTTTAGTAGAGATGGGGTTTCGCCATGAAAAGGCTGGTCTCAAACTCCTAACCTCAGGTGATCTACCTGCCTCAGCCTCCCAAAATGTTAAGATTACAGGCGTGAGCCACTGCACCCGGTCTATATATGCTCTTTTACCTAGCAATTCCACCACCATTAGGAATATTATTGGATAGCTGGATTCTTAGCCTGGGATCTGTGGTTGGGTTTCAGGTGCTCCTGAACCTCCCAAAACTATATGCATGCATTTGGGTTACATATGCATAAATATGCTCTTTTTTCCTAAACAAGGATGATAGTGTTCATCAGATTTTTGTAAGTTCACATGTCCTATATTCATACAAATGCAAAAACACGTATAGATAAGGATGCTGATTTAATGACTGGATTTTAACAGCAAACCAGTAACAGCCTGACCACCCATAAATAGGGGGCTGGGTAAATAAATTATGGTATATGCACATAATGAAACACTCTGTGGCTACTGAAAATTATGCAGATTTTTAGGCTGGGCACGGTGGCTCACATCTGTAATCTCAGCACTTTGGGAAGCCGAGGTGGGCAGATCACAAGGTCAAGAGATCAAGACCATGGTGAAACCCCATCTCTACTAAAAAATACAAAAATTAGCTGGGCGTGGTGGTGTGCACCTGTGGTCCCAGCTACTCAGGAGGCTGAGGCAGAATTGTTTGAACCCAGGAGGCGGAGGTTGCAGTGAGCTGAGATTGCGCCACTGCACTCCAGCCTGGTGCCTGGCAACAGAGCAAGACTCTGTCTCAAAAAAAAAAACAAAAAACAAAAAACAAAAACTATGTAGATTTCTAGTGACATGAAAAATGTGAGTGGAATAAAAGCAGTTATAGATCAGCACGCAGAGTTTAAGTCATGTGTCTGTGTATGCATTGAAAAGTATCTGGTGTTAATGTTTACTAAAACACCAGATGAATTTTTTACAATGAAAACATGCCATTTTAGGAAATCTATCACAAAAGGAAAAGCGTTGTTATATTTAAAAAGATGACACCCTGGCTGGGCGTGGTGGCTCACGCCTGTAATCTCAGCACTTTGAGAGGCCAAGGTGGGCAGATCATGAGGTCAAGAGATCGAGACCATCCTGGCCAACACGGCGAAACCCTGTCTCTACTAAAAATACAAAACAATTAGCCAGGCATGATGGCATGTGCCTGTGGTCCCAGCTACTC